GAGGCTGAGGCAGGTGAATCACTTGAGGTCAGGAATGCGCCACCACGCCTGGCTAGTTTTTTTTTTTTTTTTTTTTTTTTTAATAGGACTAGGGCAAGACTTGTTTCTTTATTTCAATAACAATTTACTTTAATCAAAGGAGGAAAATACCTAAAATTTTAGTAATAATCTAAATGACTATACCAGCAAACTTGTATATCTTTTATGAGGTGAGGCGAAGAAGGGTTGGTAGCGCTGCCAGACACATATTTTTCTGTTGAATTTTTATAATAACAAATCTATGAGGAATATTTTGTGGTTCACATATCACAGATAAAGGAATTACAACTTAGAGACTTTTAGAAACCTGCTTGAGATCACAAAGCTAGTAAATAGAAGGAACAGATTGTTAACCCAGGCATACTTACCACTAGAATCCAACCATTTTAGGCTGACTTTATTTGTGATCCATGCAGAGGGTGCAGATAATGCCATTATACTTCAATGACTATCTGATTTAAATGCACATATACTTATAGTAGGTTTCATTCCTTGTTGTGTTGGTAAATGTTTTAACATTTCCTGGTGGGGAGGAACCCTGACGTATTGTTGGCCCATTTGTGTGCTGTAAATACTCCCACCATGGCCAATATCAAGTTGCCAACATGATTCTCTGAATGTGGAATTAGGACGATATGCAGTAACGCACTAGTATGTAGTATTTCCACTATTCAGATACAGCTGACACGAATAACTTCAAGAGCAATGTAGTAATATTATCAAGAAATTAGAAGTCTCATGTGTATATTACCTTTGTTTTAAACATTATTTGTTTAATTTTACATTTATAAAAATTATTTTAAAAAATGGCATGTGCTTTACAACTGGCAAATAGAATCAGTGAAAATTTAAAAATAGGCTTTCATGACCGGATGTGGTGGTTCATGTCTGTAATTCCAGCACTTTAGAAAGCCAAGATTAGTGGATCACTTGAGGCCAGGAGTTGGAGACTAGCCTGGCTAACATGGTAGAACCCTGTCTCTACTAAATATACGAAAATTAGCCAGCGTGATGGCATGTGCCTGTAATCCCAGCTACTCCAGAGGTGGAGGTGGGAAGATTTCTTGAACCCGGGAGGCAGAGATTGCAGTGAGCTGAGATTGTGCCTCTGTACTCCAGCCTGGGTGGCAGAGTGAGACTCTGTCTCAAAAAAATAAAATAAAAATAGACTCTCACAAGTTGGTACAAGAGGACTGCAGCACACAGTTGGATATGAACACATTGTAACAATTTAGCAGCTAGACAGTTTGGTTCTGAAATATAGCCAGATTTTACAGAGTATCTGTAAACTATGGATATGGGTTAGTAGCAGTACCATTTCTTCTTTACAACCAAGGAAACCTGTTTTACCTCAAACATGTTTCTCTCTTCAGTAACACACCTTTCACATTGTTATTTAAAATCAAAATTTGCATCAGAAGAGAAGCTGACAAAGTCTAGCAGGCACAATTTCACTTTTAAAGTTATCATAAGAAAGAATGGCACAGATCTCTGTAATAGAAATTATCCCTGCGTTGCATACAAAATGACAAGGAGTGCATTTTTTTAAAAAGCACTCACCCTATTTGACACTATACTGTAAATAAATATAGATTCAACTCATTTCTAGTTTTATTATAAAACTCGTACTGGCCATATTTTGCTTTTGTCATCGGAATAGCCCAGATTCCCAAAGGTTTCATCCTACCGGAAAATGCTGCAATCACTTTTTTTGTTTTTACATTTCAGGTCCATGAATAATCTCTGTTAGGTTTGTCAGTGCTGTTACACATTAAAAATGATACTAAAATTTGAATTTAAAAACATGCAAAGCCTATGATTCGAAATGTTTCTGCTGGTAATTAGGTGTTGAAGGTACTGCAACTGAGGATCAAGTTTTCACTGGAATTTACTAGCATCTATTTATAAACCTAATTAATTTTACTTGCATTTGCCTTTACAAGTTAATTGCAGATTTTAGGTTGAGATTATATGTGGGCGCACATTTACATTAATTGGGAAGGCCGTCTGAGGATTCAGCTTTAATCTTTAAGCAGTTGTTTAATTTTTTTAGTAGTCTTCACATGTGGAAAGAATAATTTGTAAATTGATGATGCAAACAAGAGAAGACATATTCAAATTGTGACGCCTGTGTTGAAAGTGGACCTTGTGTCAAGGAATTGAATGGTCAATTTAATTTCAAGGCTAAGACTAACATTGTTTCTCAACTTAAGTTGTCGATAAAATAATTACCAGGGCAACTTTAAAATCACCTGCCCATGCCTCATTCCAGAGTAATTAAATAGAATCTCCAGGAGTAGGACCCAATAATTAGTATTTTTAATGCCTCCCAAATGGTGAAATGTGTGATCAAATTTGAAAACTCAAGACATACATCAGAGTCTTTTGGCGAACTTGTTAAAAAACAGAGTGCTGGGCCTCATTTCCAGAGTCTCTGATCCAGTCAGTCTCAGGGGGGGCCCAAGAATTTACGTTTCTATTAGGTCGGTGCAAAAGTAATTATGGTTTTTACCAGTATGGAGAACAACAACAACAACAACAACAAAAACGCAGTTACTGTTGCACCATCCTAATAACAAATTCTCAATTAATGCTGATCCTTGTACCATGTGTATTTGATTTTATCATCTGTGAACTTATGTAACATAAGAATGTTTCGTATATGCAAAACTAATTTAAGTTGGAAGCAATTATCCTTACAAATTTCCTTCCCATATGTATTAGTCCATTTTCATGCTGCTGGTAAAGACATACCCAAGACTGGACAAT